CCTTTATCACATGACGTCCATGGCACAAATACACACAGAATTCTTAAGAAACGGAAGGTAATAAAAGGAAGTGTTTTTTTTTTAAGCAAGAAAAATTAGTTTCTCTTCAAAATTAGAACAAATTTATCTTTACTATTTCCTTATTTCAACCTTGTATAACTAAGCATGCACTGACCTTATAGTCGAATAAAAGTTTTAAAACCTAATTCAGTTTTCTTTTCAAAGAATCAACCTTAAAATATTTTTTTTTTTGCATCTTGATTTGTTCTGAAAACATTATATACAAAAATGTCAAAACATAACTGGAAAACTGTGAGGGTAGGGAGACAACAAAAACACAAAAGAACCTGAAGAAATCAGAGAAAAAGATCCACACTCACTATTCCTCAATGTTGTCCCTATGGAGACCGATTATAAATGCCAAACTCGGTACTGAAGAGATGGCTCAGTGGTTAAGAGCACTGGCTGCTCTTATAGAGGACCTGAGGTCAATTCCTAGTACCCACAAGGCAGCTAACAACTGTTCATAACTACATTCAAGGGGATGTGATACCCTCTCCTGGCCTCTGGGGACATTACATGCACAGGGTGCACTTAACATACATGTAGGCAAAACACTCATACACATAAATTTCTTTTCAATTTTAAATTGAGTATTTTACATGTATATAGATCAGATTTCACAGATTACACATAATAAAGTAGAATTTCATATGCACACATATGAAGGTAAAGGGAATTTCATATACATGCATATAAAAGTAAAGGGAAATACTTTCAGGTGTTCTATGAAGAAATATTCACTCGTGTAGGTATGGTGGCTCATGCTTGTAATCTTGGGCCAGCCTGGATTACATAGCAAGTCCCAGTCCACCCTGGAATACAGTGTAGGACCCTGTCTCCAAAAAGAAAGAAAAAACTACTGGATACTTTTGTGGGGTATATTCTTCCCTCAACAACCTTAGACAGACATGTTCTTCTGTATGTATGTACAAGCAAACAAACATATGTGGATGCACATGGCTATCTATTTTTTTTTTCTTTTTTTCTTTTTCCTAATAGGAAACAGAATTAAAAAACAAGAAGACTTACAGTTTTACCTATTCAGGTATGCTTCTTATTTTTCACTAAATACTACGATCATAAATTGTAATAGAAACTATTATTTTCCCCAAACAGTATTCTTTATCCAGTTTACTTTAAAAAAAAAAAAAGTATCAAGCATTAGTTTTGGAATCCCTCTCTCAAATTCACATGCTAAAATATTTCCAAAGTTGTGTCAAGTTTTAAGCTACTCCTTCCAAAATTAAACACTTGAAAAAACAACTTTTCTTCATTTTCATGTAATTTAATACTAGATATCTTCTCTACTAAAAATCCTCTTAAGATTCTTTAAAGGAAGCAAGATTTTTTTTTCTTTTTAATTATCTGAGGGGTGGCGAGATGGATATGTGCATGTGATTGCAGGTGCCTGGAGTCCAGAGGAGGGTGTTGATCCCCTTGGAGCTAGAGTTGCCGGTGGTTGTGGGCCACTCAATGTGGGTGCTACAAACCAAAGTCATGTCTTCTGCGGAGTAGTACACACTCTTACCTGTTGAACCACGTTGCCAAGCCCCCAAGCGAGATATTTTTATACATCACATGCATACACTTTCTAGTTATAAACAAGACCTCCATACAGATGATCTGACTGTGCCTAATTCACATGGGCTACTTCATTTAGAGAGTAATGGATCTTCTTTTCTTATAAGTCCCAGTCATCAGGAATCATCTGTAGTGCTCTAAAAATGACCGTGAATTCTCTGCCACTCTTCCATCAACAGATGGCAGTCATCTCCCCACTTCCTGAATCTGGCTGCCTCTGTGAGCTCCTCTGAGCACCATGTGGCCTTACAGCTTCCATGCTGGGTGAGGTCACCATGCAAAGAGAGGATGCTGGGATAAAGACCACCAAGACAGGACTCAACTGACAAAAAACTTTAAAAAAACTTAATCTTCACTAAATTGAAAACTGCTATTAGCACTAAAGAATGCTGTACAAATTCTCATCCAGTAGGTTCAAATATTTCCTTTTTATATCTGTTATTAACTGAACAAATACTAAGAACTTCTTCGTTCACTGTGGCTCTGGGACTTAAATTAACTGCCTGGATAGGGTCTATTATGCCCCCAGACCATTTTCATTCCTACTTTTCTAAAACATTTTTACTTCTTGTTAAATAAAATAAAATCCAGATTACTTTTGAATTATAAAATTATATATTAGATTATATATGGTTTGTCTCTAATTAAGAGGACCCTTTAAAACTTCACATATACTAACATTAATAGCAAAAGAATACATTTCCAAAGCCAATCTACCTTGCTCTTCCCACTTAAATGAGTACATACCCAAAAACACTCAGCCTAAGAACTGTACTTAGGCTGGCTAATGCCCAGAGTCTAAGAAGAATTAAAGCAGCATACTTCTAAGAATAGCATCTGAGGCACGCTCACCATCGCTCGCTCCAGCCTCGCAGCTCCCTCTGTACTCATTCCCCATCTCCGCAAATAGCACAAAAATGATTGTGATTTCTCTGTTTAGTGTCCAACTACAAATCCCTCTGTGGCTGGGTCTTTCAATTCCAAACATTAGCACAACATTGGCATGTGGTAAAAACACTGTTACTGTTTGTGGATTTAAGAAAATGTAAAAATATCACAAGACTGCCACAATGCTTCCTGGTTTTTGAAGGGATGTGGACATTTTCATTTCAATTTTTTATGGTAATAAATAAATAAATGCACTGGTCATTTAGAGTCTAGCAATATCATGAAATTATGCAGATTCTCTTTAAAAAGTAAACAGAATTCAAGTGGGAAAAAAGGCTGTGTAGAAGCAAATATGCCACCCTTCTGTAGTTTAGAAAACTGGAAAGTTGAGACTGCATGTCTGTGAGGCTGCTCTGACGCAATCACAGCTTTGCCTGTCACTGTGTTCCAGAGACTTTTACACTGCAGTGCTATTTATCAGTAGTATAGATGATGTACAGATTTCACCTTTACTTCTCAACATTATTAAGTACCTACCTATTCTATGCCAAACGAGGTAGGAAAGACTGTGTGTAGATAGCAGGATAAGACATGCCCATTATCTCCACAGAACTCTCTATTAAGCAAAGGATTTCACCAAACCCCCTGAAAGCAAGTTGTCTTTTGCACATCTGTGTAGACTAGTATGTGTTCTGAGCGAATGCAACCTCTTCTAATTCCTAAACTCCTTACCAAAACCAAGAGTTAGATGTCCACACGAATAAAACTTCTTCTAAGGACTATTCATAAATAAGTCATGTTGGCCAAATTTTCAGGAGAAAACCTTTGGCCAGAGACTAGCATTCCACATTTTAAGCTAAACTAAATACTGGTATAATGGAAAGCAAATGGTCCGTTATGGAAATGCTGACAGACTTCCACCAGCAGTGGAGGCAATTATAATGCTGCATTTATTGAAAATTAATGAAGTCCTGAATTTTTATTTATAAAGTGGGCATTATTACTTTTAGATTACTTTCTGAAAACCAATAGTCCAAATTGAGTAAGATGATGCATACAGATTGCACCGATCTTCACTCTTATCCACTGCTTATAGCCCATGTGCACATAAACCAAAATACATCTGATATACACTAACTATAAATAACTTCCTTGGAGAGCTCTAGGGCATGAAAAAAGGGCCTCTTAAAATAAATTTAAAGTATTATATGCTTGACGGTGTATAACCAAAGGTTTAATCTCACCACTAAAGGGGCAGTTACCATGATTTTGCAATAACCCTGCAGACAATAATCAAGATAGCTCCTGTTGTTCTCTCAGTAAAATCTTTGTAAACACAGCATGGATATACTGTAATTTGATATCTACAAAATTAACAGCTATACCTCATGACAACTCCTAATATAAGATTTTATTCACCATTAAATACAGCGCTTTCTTCAGAAGCAACAGAACAGAAAGTGTGTTATTTACCAAGCACTGTCCTATTAACTATAGATTAGCACACCAAAATGGATATGCTTGTCTTCTCTTAGAAAGTGCAGTCCACAATGCAAGCTTCTAAAATGCAAGAATTAGACCTTTCAAACTTGAGAAAATGTATCGGTACCATATTTCCATCATTATTTTAAGACAACTGATTCCAATTATTCTTCTACTACTAATGTAAAAATACTCTCAAAACAAAGTTGGGTTCAAAAATGACCTATTCAAACCTAATAATAAAAAAGGAAATTAGAATAAACACAAATGGTAACAAAACTTCAAGAAATTGTTGAATGTATAATTCAGAGAAGGGTTAAAGACAATATAAATTAGTATCAAGACATTCAAAATGGAGATTACTAGGAAGAATTCAATCAGTGCATGCTCTGTCTCTCTGTCACACACACACACACACCACCACCACCACCACCACCACCACCACCATTATTTAAAGATAAGTAGCTGACCCCTCCATATTTGAGAAGTATAATAAAATCATCTTTCACTCACCAATGCTGGATTTTCTCCTGGCAGTTAGTGACCACCTGTCATGGAAACAGACAACTACTCATGAAAAAAAACAGGGCTAGGCACAGAGATACAAAATCAGTACATCAAGAAAGTACAACAGCGGCTTTACAGATTCACAAGCATTTCAGCATACATTTTTATTTGTCAGAGGTTCAGAGACGGGATGTTAGTTTTTAAGCAGCATACTTCATCAAAGCCCTCTAATGCGAGCTGATAACTACAGAACAAATTACAGCATTCCAATTCATACTTGGGTACAAAACCTGCTTCATAACTATTAGGTGACATATGATGTAAGATAACTAGCATTTTGTGCAATCTACAGACCATTTTCAATATTACATATTTTCTAGAATACGCAAATGTTATAAATAACAAGAAACCAATGTAACATCAACGTTTCATCAGTTTTAAAGAACGACAGTACTAAAAATATTTTATTTTGTCAACTTATCTCCAAATATTTCCACCTGTGATTTTTATTCTGCTGTATTAAAAATGAATTCAGTGATTTTTTTTCTACTACATTTTCAAGAAGAAATACCTGAAATAAAGAGATGCTCTGAACAGCTCATCCCCCAAGTGAGTGATGACAAAGTTTTAAGTGCTTTCCAACCAATTTAAACTATGTTTATAATATTAATGGAATGGAATGTCATTTTTTCCTTTTAAAATAATTTATTATAGTCTCAAAATCCTCAGAAAATAAAGAATGCCAATCTGCATAAGAAAAAATGCAATTTAAAAAATAACACTACTCGAGTGAAAATTTTTAAATACTATTTTCAGATTGCTAATCACCTATTTTTAAATTTCCATTAATAAAAATCTTAAATTCTAATCTAGCATACAACAGCAGCATTTTGGAGACAGGGAAACCACGGAACAAACGCCAAAACTCAAGAGACAGCAGTAGGGCCTTGTCTGCTGCCCCCAATGCCAGCTCACTGCTCGGAGTCAATACTGTCTCTTGCATATACTCGATGCTTCACCCCAAATCCTAACATTTTACTTAGAGTTGTCACTAAATTCCTCTATTATAATATTTAATTCCTGAAATAAATGTCCTCCTTTGGAACATTTTAAATACTAAGGCAGCAATCCTGGACCAAAATATGTGCAGTACTCAGATACCCAACCATAGTGCACATTAACTCAGCATAAAAAGTCAGCATCAAAATGAAGATCTGCAGCAAATATCAAAGAGCAACATTTAATAACAGTGGCAATACATAACAGAGCACTGACTTTACATCTGGAAGTCAAGCTAAGGGGGTCTGCAACCTATTTCACTATTCCTGATTTGGTAGTAATTACAAAAAAGACAACTAGAACTCAATGCAAATCAAAAACAAAAACAAAAGCAAAATCCTACAAAAATTTTATGATGCTCCTGTTTAACAACCCCATTAAGATGAGGCCCCAAACTAGTCAGGATGCTTTCCAATCCTGGTGCTGTGTTTCTAAGCATGAAGCAAGCCAGAGCATAGAAAGGAAAGCCATGCAACCCGTCAGAGCAGCGTGTTCATTAACCTCTACATGATAATCCTTTCGTAGCTGCATATTAACTAGTTACATATTCATAATCATTTACATTATTTAAAGGACCTTCGATGAAATTTTCTAGGCTATATCCATTAGTGATGATGTTAAAGGTTATGGAAGATAGTCTACTTAGTGTTTCCAGGAAGCCTTTTTAATTAGTAAATATGTAAATTTGGCACACATGCCTTTCCATATTTGAAGGCAGTAACTGGTGGCATGGCATGGGCTTGTCTACCATCACCACCCCCAATTCCCTCCACTTAGGTCTAGCCATGCTTCCCCCTTTTCCCACCCCTTTTCTGTCCTAAAACAATCTTCCTCAGCAGATATCCAAAGCAGATGAACAGCCAAACCTCATTTCATAAAGCACAAGTGATATTCTCACTACCTAAGCACTGCTATACAGGTAAGTCTTTCTCGGTTCCACAGAGCATTCAGAACAGCAAAGACGCTAGACAGGCAGCCTACAGAGGCAAGACGCAGGAGACCAGAGGTAAGCATTGACGGGCCAGGAGGCAGACATGGAAACGCAAAGGGTAGCCTTCTGGGGACCACTGTCATCTTTACACAATCCATAGCTCATCTTCCTTAGGGGAAAAAAAAGGCACTGTATGCAAACAGTTCTACTTATATTTTGAGGTATTTGGGGGGGGGGAGGTATTTTTAACAACACCAAGGGAAAAAAATCTAAAAGAGATTATCCTACAATTCAAGTTGAATATACCCTGAGCTAAAAAAATTTTCTGTGACGCTAACCCCAAATAACCTTATCTTCTGCCAGCAAACTCGTACTAATTTCCTTAAATATGAACGAATGGTCCTAAGATGGTAGGGCTGGTTCTTCTGACAACTCCAAAAACAAAGCTACAAACAAAAGGCATTTCCTCACCTTGCTGACCCCCACAAAAGTAAGATCCCTATGGAGGAACAAGACTAGCTCTGTTCTGTTTTTAAAGGTAATTGCCCAAATTTGCAAATGTTACTCCTAAAAAATGACTGTAACATCTTTATAAAAAGAGTTGGTTGCTAGGCTTATACTGTTTAACTGACCTAAGTAAGTACTTTAATATAATGGTCACATTTATAGTCAAGAATTTATAAATAAAGGGGCTGGAAAGATGGCTCAGCAGTTAAGAGCACTGGTTACTCTTGCAGAGGACCCAAGTTCGAATCCATGGGCATTACATGACATGGGTGTACTTACATATATGCAGGCATAGCACTGATACACATAAAAATAAATTTTAACAAAGAATTTATAAAGTATGTGCTCACACAGAAATACTGAGGTAAGCTCAAGAAAAGAAAAGGGACTCACCCACCTTTTTGTTTGTTATTTAAGACAGGGTCTCACTGCATAGCCCTGGCAAGCCTGGAACTACCTAGAACTCACTATGTAGACCAGGCTAACCTCACACTCACAGAGATCTGTCTGCCTCTGCCTCTGCCTCCCAAGCGGTAGGGTTAAAGGTATGTGCCACCACACCCAGCTCCCCTACTTTTTAAATAGACTACCATTAACAACCCAGTGCTTACAAAATCTTATGGTATACTTCAGTGCAAACCTAACATTTATAACAACAGCAGCATGTGCCAAGACTTCAGAGGGTGACAGCCCATGCAAACTTTCCAGTGGCTCAGATTTCAACGGCTTTCTGAAGAAAGCAATCCTGTTTTCCAAGATGAAGTAACTTGCCCAAGAAGTGAGCCACATGAAATCAGCTTTAAACACATGACCTGACCTGGAAGTACACACAGTCGCCCACCTCAGAGAGCTAACTGGACAGTAGGCAGGGCTGCCTGAATCCACAGTCCCCCTTCTTCAGACACTGCTTTTGCTGCTACTTGCCATGTCCTCAACACAGCACCACACAGTCAAGACCATGCTGACACATGAGACAGAGCAATGCACTGCCGCTCACCACCTTGCCAATGCCATCTGTATTTCTTCAGCACCTTCATTCTACTCTGTCCCTTTCTGACCAAATGACTAAGTCTAAACAGATTTCCCAAGCATCACCTGCGTGGGGACAGGAGAGGACAGGGATCTCATGGCATTTTTAAGACACTAGTAACAACTGACTGAGTAAAGTCCCCAGGATGACTGCAGCAGACAGACCACCCAACATCCAGGTAACATTCTGTAACAAAGGATAGACTGCAAGAAAACAGTTACAGCTATTCCTCTGTTTTCCTCACAAGTTCCTTCTTAAAAATCACAAAAGAATTAACAGATAATCTGCAGGTGGCAATCAGCTCTCCAGTGTTTATTTTTATTTGTGCTATTTATTTTGGTAATAGACCACAAGAGGGCAGCAACCTATGCTATTGCTTAGTGAAGTGGAGTACCCTGTTCAAGCGGGGCTGACACCCACAGCCTGAGAGGTTAACTGCTTCTCAGTTCTGAGACTTCTCTCAAAAATGCTCCCCGTCACCTCTTAACTGCTCTCACTGTTCTACAACCTCGGCCTCTTCCTGCAATACAGTAATGCATCAAAGAGCAGTGTGGGAAACTCTTCAGGGCTGTCCAAGGTCATTAGTCTGCTTCTCTGCTGGACTGTGACAAGATAGACCTTCCCATTTGGGTGTAAAGCTGCCCAGTCAAAAAAGGAGAAAGCATCCTGGACTGAGCCACAGGACGCCAGGCAAGCAAGGTTACCCGAAAGCCACCTAAAGGATGAAAACGCTTCCATAATGACAATTAGTTAAGGAGATGTATAGGTGTTGTTACTATAAAGAATTGTGTAAAATAAGCATACTTTCAACAAAATCAGGAAGAATTACATCTGTTGCTGAGCTGGTGGCACAGACCTATAATCCCAGCATTCAGGAAGCTGAGGCAGGAGGATCCCAAGTTCCTAGTTAGCCTGGGCTAAACAACAAGACTTTGTCTCTAAAGATGAAAATTCAGGAAATTATTATCTTTTAAACTCTCACGGAAGCAACTAGGAATGCAGTACACTGTGGGATAAAGTGCTTTAGTAAACTAGGGCTACTGTATTAAAACCAGCACCAAAGAAAACCTTTTCAACTTTAAACAAATTGACATTTTAAATATACTGAAAAGCAAAACTACCACCAAGAGCTAAGTCCAATTATATGGACCCCTTCTTAAAAGCCCTGAAAGTTACTTACAATTTTAATGCAGATCGAGTCAGGAAACTCACTAATAGACTTACTTTCCTGATTTAGCCTATTTCTGCACCCAGACTCTCAGCATTATAACCAGGTCTTTTCGTGCACACACTAGACTGTGCAGGCTTTGGTATGGTGCACCTCAGTCCCTTGTTATGTCTTCCCTACAATTTAGGGTTCTTTTCTCTTTCAAAATTTATTACTCATAATCCCTAATGTTCCAATTACACACACCTTTCTCTTACAGGAAATTCTGAGTGTTAATATTTACACTCTGTGATATTTCTAAGACTCAAGACACTGCTGTATTTCTGGGATTATTGAAATTAACTGT